TGGAACCAGACCATGATGTTGCATTAAAATAGGATAGAAAGCTTCCATGTCACTGTTTGCTTGTTTTTATTATTATTTGTATTTTCTTTTTCTTCTTCAATGGGTTTCTAATTCAAGTGTATACTGAACTATATGTGGTTTTGTATGTTTATAAAAATGTCAATAAAAATATAAGTGAAAAAAAAGAAAAAGAAATGGCATCCAACTTCATGTGTTAGCAATTATCCATGTGAATGGAAACTTAAAAATAAAATTAGACAATGTGAAAAGTGTTTACCGTTTCCTGGCCAGTTTCTTCGTCAGTTTCAGCAACTTCAAACCTCACCTTCCGAGTCTTGTACTAAAGATAATAACACATTGGAATATTATTCTGTCTCCTTCATTGGCCGTACATCCAAAGTCTGAGTTATAAGCCATACCTGAAGAAAGGTGGCCTGAACCAGATTTATGGGCACCATGTTCCTATAAAGAAAAGAACACACACAAATGCACCTTAGCAAACTGCTGAGTAATCAGAATACCTTTGGTCCCACAGAGGGAAACATTTACATTGTTACAGCTAAAGTAAAGAGCCAAAAATAGCAAATATGAATTAAGAGGCATGCATAAAATATTATAAATATATAGTCATATATAGTAATTGTAAATATATATAATATATATTTAACAACAAAGAATATAAAACCTATGTTGTAGTCATAAGTAATTTTGCAAAACATTTTAGTTTTATATTACTTGAAAAATGTGTTAAATGTGTTGTTAAATGTGTGGTGGTCTACCAGGGGCCATGACGGTTATAAATAAAATAAAATAATGGTCTGCTTTTAAATGATTATAAATGTGAAAATATATGTAAAGAAAAATGTCTTTGCACCTGAAAAGATCCATCAAGGCCTCGAGTGTGGATAAGGCTCCATCATCATCTTCATCCAGCTCACGCATCGGGTCATTCTGACCAACCCCAGGCTTCACCAACAGCACCAGAATTAATCCTGCAACACACCATCCAGGACTGAACACGTCTACCTTTGATCGGTCCATACAGACTGAATACAGCACTATACAATATCAAGATTACAGTGTTTACCAAACTGACTTGCGATGTCCCCCCGACAGAGAGTGCTAATAAACACTTTGAACTGTTACTACAATGTGTTTGCTAAAGCCATTGCAGTGTAATTTCACAGTGTTGCAGTAAATCCTGCATACCTTCAATAACTTCGGAGTTCCGTTTCAGCTGAATCTGTTTCAGAAAGCAGTTGCTGTTTCAATTTGGCAACGGTCTGCAGAGTCAAAAACCCTCAAAGTACACCCTGTAGCGAGTAAAACTCTAACACAGAGAAGACCTGTCTATGCTGCCCCAGAACGCCTCGTTGGAGATTTCTCTTTTTCCATTGTTTGCTTCCTGAGTATGGTGACTTGACCATAGGTCCAAATGGACCAATCCGTGGAGCTCCTCACACACACACGCTCAGCCTTATCTTTTCTCAATCGCGGGGCCGCGGATTTCCTGAGTTTCGCGGTGTCTCGCTGTCTCGCAGACCCCACGCAGCAACCAGGAAACGACACCAGTAATCCAGCTCACACTGTCCGCTCCTCGAGCCCCAAAGGGCGGAGCAGCGAGCCCCGCAACGTCCCGCCAACACGGCACCCAGACCCCACGCAGCATTCTCATCTGTTTGTCTTTACTGGTGTCATTTTCTGGTTGTTAACGCCATTGCAAAACATAATCACTGATGTTCAGCTGTGACGGTGGTGGATTCATCAGAATAGAGTGGGCGAGCCGACCAATCAGAGCACAGTGGGCTCATAGGGAGGGGGTGGGGGGGGGGGCAGGAGCTCCAACAAGCCGTTTAGGACAGAGAGTGAATACACATACTATACAGAGATGCTGTATGAGAAACCAATGTGAGTTTGGAAAATTGCACAATTTAAATCTATTCTAGTAGACCTCAACAATGTAATTATGATCAGTAGAAATGGCCATGACATGGGACCTTTAAGGTCAATGTTTCAGTTTTTTCATTGTTGGCTGCTCTGAGTGAAGTTTTCACTAGGTGTGCCGAAACTAAATGAGTTTATATTCTAAGTTTTGTATTTCCCTTACCTATCGTCACGGCCACCAGCGTAGTTGAGATGAAGTATACTGCTGCTCGGATAGAGATTTTTCTGGAGGAGCCAGCACTCATACTACAGACTCCTTTTAAAAATCAAAACATCAGCATTAATACAATTATTTCTGACTGTTCTCATCACTCGTCATCCTCAGATATTTTACTTGAGTAAAAGTAGAAATACAACAGTGTTAAAGCAGTGCTTTACAAGTAAAACTCCTGCATTTAAAGTCTTAAGTATAAAAGTATTGGCATTCAAATATACTAAAATACCAAAAGTAAAAATACTTATGTGTATCCTATATAATAAATGAGTGGAATATAATTATTGCTGCATTAATGTGTTCATCACGTGGTAAAAGTAGAGTTACTTTTAATGACTTTGTATTTTACCATCTTCACCTATACCAATATATAATAGTTGTTTTATTAGTTTATGTATGCACTGCTGAAGTGTCATGAAAAGTAGAGCAACAGTCAAATAGTTAGTCTGGATATGTATATTGTTATTATTACATGACAGATCCAGAATGACCCACCTGTTATGACACTTGTCACCATTAGAGGAATGGTGACCATCTGAAGAACCCGCATGAAAACCTCTCCAGGGAATCCGAGGTAGTCTATGGTGAGGTTTGACATGGGGACAAATGTCTTCAGAACCACGCCCAAAACGATGCCTGTGAGACAGTATATTGAGATATTAGAACTCCAACACAGAGAAAGGGTTTTAAAAGAGCTCTCAAAGTCCTGCGTATGGTTTCATTCCCTTTTATTTGCACACATTCTGTCAAACACAACTCAGAATGAGTCATTAACTCATTCTTTGTTGTCATGGTCACAGATACTGTATATTTTATGTTATGTACGATGTATACTTACACCCTAATGAAATGTATTATCTGTCAGATCATAAAATATACGAATGAGAACAACATGTCACAATGTAGCAGCACAAAAATAAAGAAGGAAAATGCTAATGAACATAATAACACGATGATCAGATAACAATGATTGACTCAAAATGAAATCCAAATATATTGTGTTAGTAAATACAATGATGGAAACTCTCCAAGGGATAGTGCTGTTTAATCATGTTTACTTGTACAGTGTTCACAGGCAGGCATATTTAAATTAGAGAATGAGTAAGAGGCACCGATTGGTCAATTACATCATTCTGCTCATTCCAAAAGAACATTGAAAAACAGACCGTCCTATGGAGGCGGTTCTCGTCAAAGTATCTTCACAATACCTTCCTGAAGTGCAAAGTGACTTTAAAATGAATATTTTGTTGTTTGTTGTATTTTTGTAACTAATAGTTTAGCTAAAGATAGAATGTCAAATGAAATGCTGTCACTGGAAAAAATGCTGTGAAAAAACTGGTAAAAAAATTATGAAAACAAGGTGTGTAAAGAAATCTGCCAATAGAATAGCTGGACATTTGCTTGCTAAGATTTATTGAAATAAAATTGTATATTTAGATAAAACAGATCTTGTAATTAGCTGGGGAAACCTATTTTGAGCTATATTTGACCAAAATCAGGAATTAAAAATTCTCCAAAGTTTCAGTTTTTTCTGATGTCAGTTGGTGAATTTCCAATAAAATGTAAAAAAAAAACGTTTCATCTGAGGTAGGGCCTACAACTGAAAATAAGATGTTTTCAAGAGTCTTTGACTTAAGGCGAGACACCCCAGGTGAATAGGGTAATTTTTTTAACTTAAAGGTATCAGCTAGAAATTTCTCCAGTTAATTACTTACAATAAGGCAATTGTCTTTTGTATTACAAGTTTTCTGAAATAGCATGTTTAAATATGCAAATTAGCCATTATCTCATCAAATATGTGCATATTTTAACACATTTCAGGAATCGAAATCTGAACTTTGGATAAAGCCAGGTTAAAAATTCTTGTTTCATTTTGTAGTCATATTAGTATCTAAGGCTTTTACAAAAGGGATTTTGGATATCTCTTTTTATCACTCCATAAATCAGAAAATACTGTCAACAGCCCTAAAATATCAATTTTTGCCATGTTTTTAGGTATACAATGTTGTATAATTCAGGCTATGAATGATATATGAACAAACCCTTCTGTAAAAGCCTTCATAATATTGATAGGAATATAACTGGAAGGTTTGGTGTGTCTACGTGCTACTGAAGTTGACATTTCGAACTCAGAGTAGGAGAAAAAACTCATTTTGAGAAAACGACCTTTAAAGATTGCAGCGAGGCGCTAGCTAAGCCCTCCTGTTCTTTGGATGACAGCTTGCGCCTCGACGCACTCCGTGAAGGT